GTAGGTGTGTGTGTGTGTGGAGGGGTGTGTGTGCACGGGTGTGGTGTGTGTGTGCAGGGGTGTGCGTACAGGTGTGTGTGTGTGCAGGGGTGTGTATGAACAGGAGTGGTGTGTGTGTGTGCAGGGGTGTGCGTACAGGTGTGTGTGTATGCAGGGGTGTGCGTACAGGTGTGTGTGTGTGCAGGGGTGTGTATGAACAGGAGTGGTGTGTGTGTGTGCAGGGGTGTGCGTACAGGTGTGTGTGTATGCAGGGGTGTGCGTACAGGTGTGTGTGTGTACGGGAAGACATGTATAAACTGCCCCACTCATTTAGTCCCTGCCATGTTACACACACACCCCAGACGTCCATGTCTCAGCGGGTCCAGGGGGTGTGTATGAACAGGAGTGGTGTGTGTGTGTGCAGGGGTGTGCGTACAGGTGTGTGTGTATGCAGGGGTGTGCGTACAGGTGTGTGTGTGTACGGGAAGACATGTATAAACTGCCCCACTCATTTAGTCCCTGCCATGTTACACACACACCCCAGACGTCCATGTCTCAGCGGGTCCAGGGGGTGTGTATGAACAGGAGTGGTGTGTGTGTGTGCAGGGGTGTGCGTACAGGTGTGTGTGTATGCAGGGGTGTGCGTACAGGTGTGTGTGTGTACGGGAAGACATGTATAAACTGCCCCACTCATTTAGTCCCTGCCATGTTACACACACACCCCAGACGTCCATGTCTCAGCGGGTCCAGGCCACTTGGGCCGCGCTAGAGCAGAGTCTGCCCCACGCTCCCAGGCTCTGACGGGCAGAGCAACTGGCCCAGCCCCTCGTTCAGGCCTCAGGCCCCCGGCTTGCCTGGATCTGCCCCCCAAGGCTCGGGGCTCCCCCCCATTGGAGAGCCCGTGCTGGTGCGCCAGCCCCCCACTGCCCCACTGCAGAGCTGGAGTGCCCAGAATCTACTAGGCCGGGCCCCCCGAGGCTCTGGTGGGGGAGGGGAATGTGGGGAGTTGGGGGCCGCCTCCGTGAGGGTTTCTTGGGTTTTTTGCTCCTCACCTCTGTGCAGCCCCCGACTGATTTTTCTGTGGGTCAGTGGCCCCCGAGCCGAAGGAGTTCCCCAGCCCTGCCCCCAGGGAGCCGGACGCGGTGGGGTCTCCTGGGCAGGGCCACGGAGCCTTTCCCCCAGTGCAGACTGGGGTCCCATCCTGCCCTCAGCTCCCCTGCAGCTATGCTGGAGGTGGGGCCCGCGCTCCCCTGTGGCCGACGCCCAGCGCTGAACCCGCATCCCTCTGCGAATCCGCCTGGCATGGACAGTGACCAGGCAAAGGGCAGAAAGGATCTTGCATCAGGCCTAGTGGGCCACTCGCGCCCCTCCCCTGTGCTCCTGGGGCAGGACGGCCCGGGTGTGGCTGGTGCCTGGGATGCTGGTGCACCCAGTCCCTGGGAGGGAGCGCGAGGAGCCTGGCCGGCTGCCATGCCCAGCCTGGCCATCTGGCAGCTGATGCAGCCCCGCCCAAGGCTCCCCTTTTGTGTCTGCTTGTCAGAACAGCCGCGCCGGCCTTGGCTACTTGCTGCGCTGACCTTGCATCCAGCTGTCAGACGCACAAAGCCCTCCTGCCATGCCAGGCTGCTCCCGGAGCAATCAGGTGACAGCACATTAACCCTGCCACTTCCCCACACCCCCCAAGGTCGGGAAGGGGCGGGGTGGGGGGCTGTCTGTACAGCCCCCCACCCCGATGGCCAGGGATTTTTGGCTTGAGAACGGCTATTTCACAAAAACCAAACACGACAGGAGCAGAACCATTCTGCCCACTAAGCAACGCTGCCTGCGAGGCACGGCGAGCCCGAATTTCCCATTTCCAGAGCACTGCTCAGAACAACGGCCCCACCCCTCCGTGTGCCGGGAACTCAGTGTGTACCAGACAGAAAACAGACCTTGCTCACAAGTCGTCCCAAATGCCCCTGCGGCCCGAGGCCACCCCCTGAGCACTGGCCTGCATTGAATGCCCAGAAGCGGCTCTGCCGTGGGAATGCAGCTAGCACCAGGATCTCTGTCGCGTTCTTTGCCCTTGTCCCTGCAGCTCTCCCTGCGTCTCCAGGGCAAAGAATAACCCCCGGGAATCATTAGCCCTTTACAATAAGGGCTCCGCCGCTCCGCCAGCCAGTCCCAGCCCCCTGGATTCCCCAGGCTCACCGATCGCTTTCATGTATTCGTCGAAATGACTGCTGTCCACCAGCCGCCAGGTGCCTGCGAACGCCTCAGCCATGATGAGCCCTGTGCGCCCGCAGCTCTGAGGAGAGAGACTGCTCGCTAATCTAGGCACATTCTTCCTCTTTAAATAACCCATCTGATCACATGATTGGAGAGCGTGGCTCCAGAAACGTTTCCCCAGCCTCTCAGAGACAGTCGCACTGGAGCGGCCTCGGACTGCGTCGCTAGCACATCAGCTCTGCATGCACAGCCCTGCGTCCGCCCTCTCACTCCTGGGGCTGCCGCTCCCGCGTGCCCAGTGAAATCTCGGGCATGAACAGACGTCCTAGTGCAGGAACCAGACCCCGGCCGGGGCTCTCCTGGGACCGCGATGGATCTTGTGGGCATTTTAAAGTGCTTTGCACAGCCCTAACGCTGGCAGTGATGCGCCAATGATTGGTATGCCAGCGGAAATCCGGGTCCCCCGGTGCCGGGGGGGGGGGGGGGGGGCAGCCGGG